ATATACACACACACACACATATATACACACACACACACATATATACACACACACACACACATATACACACATTAATGTGCTCTTGCAGACGTCTGCAGATACATCAAACTCATATTCATACTGTATAATTCTGTGGTTTCGCTTAATCTGCTGATATATTTATAGTTTAAGATTCTTTAAAAGGCTTTTATAGAAACACATCACCCGACTTCAGAAACATCACCCGACTTCTAAAATGCAGAATGAACTCAGAAACTGGTGTGTTATTCATACGTCACATGATGAGACCAGGCCACCTGTTGCATTCTGGGAAAGTGTTTGAGATGTTCCTCATGTTTCTAATGAAACTAGTTGACCAGATGTTCCTCATGTTTCTAATGAAACTAGTTGACCAGATGTTCCTCATGTTTCTAATGAAACTAGTTGACCAGATGTCCCTCATGTTTCGTACGGCCTCTGAGACGAACAGGATACATTTGTATTGGGGTATTAGGGAAAAAGCGTCCACTTTTCAAAAAATCATAACGGGCAAAGGAAGGCCTTCAGCGGCCAGCAAACGGTCGGATCAGGAACTACGGCTCCCCGGCTGACGCCCGAGAGAGCAGTGCTCCGATCGGACCGTCGGCCGCCGAGCTACAATTTTTCAAAGTTCGCGAAGTTGTCCCGAATGTATTCCGCCATTTGTCCGGGGGACATGCACTGACTGTCACCCCAGGAACGAGGCTCGAAATCGGATACTGGTTAGGCAATTTCGCCTACATAGCAAGCCCATACAAATGTAGGCCAAATGTCAGTATTGGCTACATAAATAACATAATGTCCTCATAAATCAAAATCAGACATTTTGACTAAATGTATATGGGCAGGCCATTTAGTCTAAATGGCCTAGACCAAATGTCAGAAATGTCCCAAATGACAGTGAGACATTTGGGATGTATTCCGCTATTTATCCGGGGGACATGCACTGACTGTCAACCAGGGAACGAGGCTCGAAATCGGATACAATACAGGTCCAGGTCCTCCCTAACTTGGGTCGGACATTTGGGATGTTGTTTGTTACACCCCTAGAAACAAATAACTGTAGCTTGCGCGTCATAATGAGATTATTAGGAGATGGTTCAAGTGTAGTAGGACAGCACAGAAGGCCCAGGTATAAAATACACGGCCCGCCACTGACACACACACATTAACAGAGTTAGTGTGATGATGATGGAGGAGGTAAAGAGGTGACGCAGATTCATGTTGATCGCTCTGAGGCTGAGATGGAAACAAACGAGTGGGAGGGAGAGAGACACACACACACACACACACACACACACACACACACAAGTCTCCTTTTTCATTTTTCTGCTCTGACAATCACAAGCATCCGTGTGTGTGTTGTATACACGTGTGTGCATGTAAAAGTGTGTGTGTGTCAGCCATACCTTCAGCAGATCTTTGGGGAAATCTTTTCCATCGTTGAGACCCTCCAGGTTGGTGATGAACTGACTGCAGGACATCCTCTTCCCCACGTTCTACACACACACACACACACACACACACACACACACACACACACACACA